CCGTTGGTAAGGAAAAATCAATCTCTTGATTTTCAACGGCTAGATTGAAGATAATTATGCTGATTCAAGAACAAATTACTCGAAGACAAAGTCTGGGCCTCTAAAATTGAAGAGCCTGTCCAGAATTCCTAAACAAGCACTAGAGGACAAACAGAGTAAAGTGCTACAGTCTTGAATTCTTGAACAACAGCTAGAAGACGGATTCTGTGGAAAAAGGAATCCTTTCTCAACAATTGGGTACGTCCAAACACCCACTTCAACAAAGAATCTTCAAATCACAATCTTCATTCAAAATTGAAGCCAGCAAATGCAACGGATAGTCTATTATGATTCAACGGATAGATTATCCAATCCAGCTATAAATAGCATCCTTGGAAGACTGGAGAAGATATGATGAGATACGTTGATACAACAACACAACAAAGCAATTTCTAAGCTATCTCATTCACAGTTAGCCTAAAAAGCTTGATAAAGAGAGATTTCTAAACTCCTTATCCAGAAGCAAACTCCTCCTCCTTCCAAAGAGCTATAGTGTAAACACTTGAAGGTTTCCTTGCCTCAAGTACCACACCACGTTGAAGGATACAACTTTTTGATCAAACTTATTGATTAAAAAGGGGGTAGATCAACTTTCTTACAAGTTGATCTTGCAAGTTCTATTGTTCGGACGTTGCAGTTGTTGAAGAAGTGTGACCTTCGAAGGAACAACAAAGCCAGCACGAGTGCAGTAGCAACATTGGTCTTGCGAAGATATACCGTGCAGAAATTCACACAAGTGTAATTGTTGGTTCATTATTCAACAACCAACTACATAGTGGATTTTGAGGACGTAGAAGGATTACCCCACCTTCGAACCTCGTTAAAGTTTACGTGTCTCTCTCTTTTATCTTTACTCTTACTCGCAATTATATTAACTGTGAAAAGTGACCCATCCATATTGATTACTGCTCACTCTACCCACCAAATTCCGCACATAATCTAAAGTTCACAAGAACTCTAGATTAACACTTATTTTCACGTTTTCTAAAGAAACAAAAAAGATTTTAAATCTGTAACAAAGTCTATTCACCCCCCTTCTAGACTTTGTATTTCACCACTTTGGGACCACCATATATATATATATATATATATATATATATATATATATATATTTATATTTATATTTATATATGTATGTATGTATGTATGTATGTATGTATCTATATATATATATATATATATATATAGATACATACATACATACATACATACATACATACATACATACATACATACATACATACATACATACATACATACATACATACATATATATATATATATATTGTGGTTCCCCCTGTAGAGATGGTCACAGGGTTGATTGGCGAACCACACCACCAGAGTTCGATCCCTAGAAGATGCATATTTTGGAGAAATTTTAAAGAGTTAAGCGTGCTGGCATGAGAGTAGCAAAAATGATGGGTGACCCCCCTGGGAAGTATATTTGGGCTTATGGGGCTGGGCTTTAGATTGGGCTTACTTTGGCTTTCTATAGTGGGCTATCTACCTCGGGTGTTAACGGGCCCCGGGGTTGTCACGAGGTTAACGGGCCTCGGGCCCCCTGCTTTGTAATCGACCGTTCATTATTAATAAAAAAAAATTTAATATATATATATATATATATATATATATGAAAAATGGTTAGGTCTAGAGAGTGGGGGGAGCTAGGCGATTCTCGCCGCCGTCCCCAAGACCCCATCTCGGAATTCCGGCAACCAATACATTGCCACTACAGATATACAAACGCATTTAGAGATAGGGGGAAGAGAGGCGAGTCAATTCGCCGACCCCAAGCCCGAAATCTGGAGCTTTATAAACACCAATCCTACAAATTTCAAAGGAGGTATAGAGAAAGGGGGGATAGAGATGACTCTCGAGGTCGTCCCCAAGAAGGTGTTTCTGAGCTCCGGGAACCATTGGAACGCCATTTCTGCAGAGATGAAAGAAGGTATGATAGAGATTCTTCTCTGTGCAGTGATGGTAGAGGAAACCGTGGCCATCAAAGTTGTTTCAATCTAAGAGGTTCCAATCTCAGATGGAGTTCTCCTAAGGCTCTCAATCGGAGACCTTACAATTATTCTCCAGATGGACGGATATCAACCACCACAGATCAGAGGGTTTCTGAAGTTGGATACGGAGCTTTGCAATTCAGTCACCCCCCTTGGCAGACTAGAAACTTGCACGCTTATTTCCT